GCGAGGAGTTGCTGTCTGCCGCAAACGGAGCTTGCGGGCGTTTCGAAGCAGCAGACCCGCTATTCCCGCGCTCCCCGGAGGCAGCAGCAGCAGCACCCGCAGCAGCAGCAGCACCCGCCGCAGCACCCGCCGCCGCCGCAGCAGCAGCAGCAGCAGCAGCAGCAGCAGCAGCAGCAGCGGGGCCGCGGTTCGCGATGAAGCGCATTGTGCTGCCGTCTTCGCGGCTGAAGTTTGTCTTCGGACTTGACCAGCAAACTCTGAGAGAACTTGCTGCTCTCCGCAGCACTTCGCACCCCAACGTGGTGGCTCTCAGCGCCTTCCACTTCAGCAGCAGCAGCAGCAGCAGCAGCAGCAGCAGCAGCAGCAGCAGCAGAGCCGGAAGCGGAAGCGGCTGCGGCCCACCTTTTATTTGATTACAGAACTCTGCGATGAAGACGCAGCAAAAGCCATCGCCCAGCAGCAGCACAAATACCAGACTTACATCAAACGAATGCAGCAGCAGCAGCAGCAGCAGCAGCAGCAGCAGCAGCAGCAGCAGCAGCAGCGGGTGCACGAGGAGGCGCCTCTTCCGGGGTTCTCGGAAGAAGACGCGAGGCTCATTGTCTACCAAGTAGCAAACCCTAAACCCTAAACCCTAAACCCTAAACCCTAGTCCCGAAGCCTTCCTCTTCTGAGTCGGCCGCAGCAGCTGTTCCGCCACGGCTGCTGCTGCTGCTGCTGCTGCTGCTGCTGCTGCTGCTGCTGCTGCTGCAGCTGATGCAGGCCTTGGCTCACTGCCACTCGCGCGGTTTGCTGCACCGAGATATAAAGCCGCAAAATATATTTTTGACGAAAGAGAGAGAAGCAGAAACTGGCAAACTTAGGTGGTCCGCAAACCCTAAACCCTAAACCCTAAACCCTAAACCCTAAACCCTAGGCGACCCCGAGCTGCAGGACTGGCTCTGGAGTTAATTTCTGGCAAACCCTAAACCCTAAAAGCTGGCTGGCGCTACCCCTAAAGCCCAGCGAAGCCGCGGCAAACCCTAAACCCTAAACCCTGATTTAGGGTTTGCTGCTGCAGGGTCGTTCGGCTGGGGGACTTCGGACTTTGCTGCTTCCGGCTGCAGCAGCAGCAGCAGCAAACAGCAGATGTTGTCACAAAGCTTTACAGAGCGCCGGAGCTGCTGCTGGGCAAAACGGACTACGGGCAGCAAATTGATGTCTGGAGTGCTGCTGCTGTCGCAGGTATCTGCTGCTGCTGCTGCTGCTGCTGCTGCTGCTGCTGCTGCTTCTGCTTTTCGTGCTGCTGCTGCTGCTGCGCAGAAGGCGGTTGCTGCTGCTCGTGCTGCTTGTGCTGCTGCTGCTGCTGCTGCTGCTGTTCCTTCGCACGCAGGCGGCAGTTAACCCCGCGCTGCTGCTGCTGCTGCTGCTGCTGCTGCTGCTGCTGCTGCAGCGGAGCTTGTGCTGGGCCGCCCTTTGTTTGGCTGCTCCTCTGAGGGTTTGCTGCTGAGCCGAGTGCAGCAGCTGCTGGGCGCAGCAGCAGCAGCAGAGCTGCAGCAGCTAGCGGGGGAGGAGCTGCGGATTGAAGTGAGTTTTATTTATTTATTTTAATTAATTTATTTTAATTAATTAATTTTAATTAATTTGTTTATTATTTATTTATATTTGTTTATTTTTATTTATTTTTGTTTATTTATATTATAGATTTTGTTTTTCTTTTTTGTTTACAGTTTGCTTTTTGTTTGTATATATTTATTTTTTCGTTTTTTTATTTTATCATTTTTCGTTTATTTCCTTATTTGCTTTATTTATATATTTAAATACATTTTTGAATTTGTTTTTAATTTATTTTATTTATTTATAATTTACTTTTTATTTAATTGTTCTTTCATATTAGCCGAATTCTTTTGCATTTGTTTTTGCTCCCTTAGAGCGTTTGCTGCGTCCCACTGCTGCTGCAGCTGCTGCAGCTGCTGCAGCAGCAACAGCTGGCCTGCAGCAGCAGCAGCAGCAGCAGCAGCAGCAGCAGCAGCAGCAGCAGCAGCAGGTTTTCGTCGGCGGCGCTTCCGGGCCTCTCAGAATGCGGTTTCTTGGCCCCTTGCGCTCAAATTTCTCCGTTTTTTCGATTTAAAAGTGCAAAAATGAATAAAATAAATAAAATAATTCATAAATTGAATAAATAATTCATTTATTTCCACTCTTTCGCCAGTTCTGAAACTCTGCTGCAGCCCGCAGCCCCCGCGGCGCCGCTCGCGTCGGTCTTCGTGGACGCGCTGCAGCGGCCGCTGCTGAGCGCCGCGGGCGTCGCCTTCATCGAGCAGTGAGTGGAGCGACAGCGAATTTAACGGAGAAAAACAAATTAAAACAAATTAAAATAAATTAAAATAAATTAAAATATAAAATAATAAATTTTAATTCAAAATAAACTCTAAAAAGCCAAAAAATGGCCAAGTAGACGCCGAGCAGCACACCCACGAACCCTCTGGAGCTTCGAAACCGCTGCCGGAAACTCCAAAAAGGCGTCAAGAAATGCCAATTTAATTTTAAATTTGTAAAATAAATATCAAATAATTAAAATTAAATTTAATTTTACTTCAAAATTTCTTAAATCTTCAACGGAGTCGTCTGTCTTGCCCTCCACGACTTGTTTCGTCTTCTGGGTGCTCAGCATTTCTTCTGTAGCACTTGCTGCTGCTGCAGCAGCAGCTGCTGCTGCAACAGTTGCTGCTGCTGCAGCAGTTGCTGCTTGTTTCACTTGCTTCACTGCATTCGCTGCCGCTGCTGTTGCCAACACCCGTTTGAGCTCGCTTGCTGCTGCTGCTGCGAACTCTTTGCACACATTTGCCGCTGCTGCTGCTGCTGCAACCTCATTGAGCGCGTTTGCTGCTGCTGCTGCTGCTGCTGCTGCTGCAGCCTGCTCATAGTGGACCCGTCGCGGCGGCCGTCCTGCTTAGCTGCGCTGCAGCACCCGTGGCTTGCTGCTGCTGCTGCTTCCTTCAGCAACATTGCTGTTTACTTTGGGCCTTTTCCCACTCCCTCTTTGCCGCTGCACTATTTGCCTTTAGACCCTCTTAACGTGAGCCACTGCTTCGCCCCCACGCAGCAGCAGCAGCAGCAGCAGCAGCAGCAGCAGCAGCAGCGGCTGCAGCAGCAGCGGAAGGGGGGGATGCAGCAGCCGCAGCAGCCGCTGCTGCTGCCTGTGCCTCCCTGGGAGGAGGCCCCAATGCCGCAGCAGCCGTTTGATATGCCCGCAGCAGCAGCAAGAGCAGCAGCAGCAGCAGCAGCAGCAGCAGGTGAGGCAGCAGCTGTCTTTCTGTTTTGGCTCTTCGCGCCGCATTCTGCTTAGATCCTTTTGCTGCAGTCTTTTCATTTCTTCACCAGCTGCTGCTGCCAATAGCTGCTGTTGCTGCTGCTGCTGCTGCTGCCAATAGCTGCTGCTGCTGCTGCTGCTGCTGCTGCTGCTGCTGCTGCAGGGTCTTGGCTAAGCCCGCAGTTTGTATGTGAGGCTCTTTCTTCCTGAGCTCTTTCTTTTTTTTTAAAACTAAACAGCAGCACAACTTTGCTGCTAAATTTTTAACTATAGTTTCACCCAGGGCCTCTGGAGGGCCCCCTGGGGGCCCCTAGGGGGCCCCTTGGGGGCCCCCTAGGGGGCCCCTAGGGGGGCCCCCTGGGGGCCCCTAGGGGGGCCCCTTGGGGCCCCTAGGGGGCCCCCCAAAGAGGCCCTTTATATGGAGGGTCTCAAAGGGAAATGGGGGCCCCTGTTGCTGCCCCGTCTACAAATACCTGGGGGGCCCCCAGGGGGGCCCCCCAGGGGGGCCCCTGGGGGCCCCCCGGGGGCCCCCAAAGGGGGGGGCCCCCAAGGCGGGGGCCCTCTTGGGTACTTGTTAGAGGGGCCTCAAGGGGGGCCCCCAGGGGGCCCCCTCTGTTGCCTTTTCTATAAGCAGCTTTAGTTGGCACCAGGAGGCCCTTAGAGGGCCCCCAATGGGGGCCCCTCTAAACCCTTTTAGGGCCTCTTCGGGGGCCCTTGGGGGCCCCCAAATATCTCACCTTGAGGGCCCCCTGCGGGGCTCCTGGAGAGCCCCTTGGGGGGCCCCCAGGGGGGCCCCTTGGGGGCCCCCCTAATGGGGTGATTTGGGGGGCCCCAAGGGCACATTATGGGGCCTTTGGCCCTTTATGGGGGCCCCCAGTGGACCCTTGGGGGCCCCCAGGGGCCCCTTAGGGGCCCCTAAGGGGGCCCCCAAGGGCCCCCAAGGGCCCCCTGGGGACCCCATAGGAAAGCCTAAGGGGCCCTTAGGGGGCCCCCTTAGAGGGAAACTGCGTTTGGCTTTTAGGCATTTTGCTTGGCACTTGTGTTCGGATGCACAGTGTTTTAGGGTTTAGGGTTTAGGGTTTAGGGTTTGGGGTTTACGGTCGTTGGGATGAGTGGCGGACCACTGGGGTTTCTGGGATTTCTAGGGTTTAGGGTTTAGGGTCTGTAAAACCCTCAAGAGGGCTTTGAGGGACTTCAGGGGACAATATGAGAAGCACACTGCATATTGTTGTAGGGTTTGTTGGGGTTTAGGGTTTAGGGTTTAGGGTTTAGGGTTTAGGTTTCAGGCCAGGTCGGCAGCGATCGCGCAGGCGCTGTGTTGAGCGAGGTTTAGGGTTTAAGAGGAGCGCCGTTTAGGGTTTAGGGTTTAGGGTTTGAGGTTTGCTTGTAATTTTAAGTTAAAGAGTTTTAAGAGGGTTTAGGGTTTAGGGTCTCAGCGAGGGTTTAGGGTTTGCGTGGACTACCGGGGGCCAGCGGAGCGGACCAGGGAGCAGCAGCGGAGGGAGGCCGACTCAAACCCTAAACCCTAAACCCTAAACCCTAAACCCTAATCCCTCTGCTTTTCTTTTTTTTAGCTTTGCCCTACTTCAGGGCTGGGGCTGCTGTGTGCGCCTTCAGTTCCTTTTTGCTGCTCTCTGCAGCTAACAGCAAATCTCAGCAGCAGCAGCAGCAGCAGCAGCAGCAGCAGCAGCAGCAGCAGCAGCAGATGTGGAGTCTACTTCTCTAGGACTTCGTTAAACCTCCGATCGCAGGGGCCCCCCCCTGCTGGAAGAGGGGACCCCGTCGGGGCCTTCGAGCTGTCAAACCCTAAACCCTAAACCCTAAACCCTAAACCCTAAACCCTAAACCCTCGATCATGTCTCGGCGTGTTGTGGTCTCCCTGATTCTCGGGGCTTTTGGCATTTCTTTGGCAGCTGCACAAGAATTGACTGGCAGTAAACCCTAAACCCTAAACCCTAAACCCTAAACCCTAAACCGGCGTGTGCAAACCCTCACTTCCAAACCCTAAACCCTCATGTGGAAACCCCAGCAGCTCAGAGTATACGGCTGCACAGCTGGAGCACACGCTGTAGCTGCTGTTGCTGCTGCTGCTACTGCTGTTGCTGCTGCTGCTGCTACTGCTGTTGCTGCTGCTGCTGCTGCTGCTGCTGCTGCTGCTGCTACCAGCCTAGTAGTTTGCTGCAGCAACGCTCTTGGGACGATGCTGTTGTGCTGCTGCTGCTGCTGCTGCTGCTGTCATCACTGTAGCCAATATTGCTGCTGCTGCTGCTCATGCCACACTTACAGCTCCTGCTGCTGCTGCTGCTCCTGCCACACTTACCCTTGCTGCTGCTGCTGCTGTTGCTGCTGCTGCTGCTGCTGCTGCTGCAGATTGTCCTGACTTTGGCTTTGCATATACTGCGGACGAGGCGGACGTGCTGCAGCAGCAGCAGACTTCGAGTTGGTCAGCCTGCGCGTTGCTGTGCAACCGCTCAGCAGCAGCAGCAGCAGCAGCAGCAGCAGCAGCAGCAGCAGGATGCGCCCACTTCCAGTATGACTCTTTGACTGGCCTTTGCCGCCTCTTTGCTGCAGGGGCCCCTGGGGGGCCCCCCACTAAGGGCCGGGGGGCCCCCCATGTGGTCTCGGGGCGGTACCCTGTGCTGCTGGCTGGCAGCAGCTGCGTCACTTCTGCTGCACTATCTGAGTGGGGTCCCTGGGGCCCCTGGAGTCCCGAAGGGGGCCCCCTGGGGGGCCCCCCGGGGGGCCCCCTGGGGGGCCCCCTGGGGGGCCCCCCGGGGGCCCCCCTGGGGGGCCCCCAGGACCTCGGGGGGCCCCCAGAGGCCCCCCCGCTGCTGCAGCGAACTCGGCAAGTGCTGTGGGGCCCCCGCTTTGGGCCAGAGACTTTGCCTGCACTTAGGCAGCTGAAGCCAGCAGCAGCAGCAGCAGCAGCAGCAGCAGCAGCAGCAGTGGTCGCAGCAGCAGATGCTGACTGCAGCTGGAGCGGCATTGGCGTTCTGGGCTGGGGATGCGATCCTAATGCTTCTTTCGAAGAAAGCGGTAAGCGATTAGGGTTTAGGGTTTAGGGTTTAGGGTTTAGGGTTTAGGGTTTAGGGTTTGAGGTTGACGAGTTCAATTGTGTCTCATGTTGAGGGGTTTACCCCTTAAGCTGCTGCTGCTGCTGTTCCTGCTGCTGCTGCTGCGTGTTAGCTGCTGCTGCTGTCGCTGCTGCTGCTGCTGCTGCCAGTTTCTCTGCTGCTGCTGCTCTGTGTAGCTTTTGCTGCGGCGGATGTTGCTTCTGTCTGTCGCCGCCGCCGCTACCCAGATTGCTGCTGCTGCTAGCCCTCTTGCTGCTGCTGCTGCTGCTGCTGCTGCTGCTGCAGCACAAGCCCCTGTGGCTGCTGCTTCCCTCGCCGAGTGCCTCGCCATTTGCCGCAGCCGCTCAACTTGTTCCTTTGCTTCTTTTGAAGAGCCTCAGGGGGCCCCTGAGGGCCCCCTGGGGGCCCCCGAGGGCCCCCAGGGGGCCCCCGGGGGGCCCCTGGGGGCCCCCGGGGCCCCACAGGGGCCCTTTGCAGGCCCTTGGGGCCCCCAGGGGGCCCCCAGGTTGGGCCGCTGCTTCCTTATCTTCGGAGAGCCCGGCTGCTTCTTCCTTTCAAGGAGACACAGCTCCGGTAAGCTCGCGCAGCAGCAGCTGCAGCAGCAGCAGCTGCAGCAGCAGCAGCTGCAGCAGCAGCAGCTGCAGCAGCAGCAGCTGCAGCAGCACAAGCTGCAGCAGCAGCAGCTGCAGCAGCACAAGCTGCAGCAGTAGCAGCAGCAGCGGGAGCAGCAGCCAGAAATAGGTCAAAGGCTGGGAAGGGCTTCCCAGGACTTAGTTCTTCCAGCCTCACGCGTGCTCGCCACTCTCTGCTGCTGCTGCTGTTGCTGCTGCTGCTGCTGCTGCTGCTGCTGCTGCTGCAGCGCCCCGTGATGGGGGCTCAAGAGCTTGCCCAACTGCGTGCGTGGGGGGCCCCTGGGGCCCCTGGAGCCCCTGTGCTTCTGCATGCGACCCGCAGCAGCAGCAGTACCGCAGCAGGGGCATTTTGCTGCCAGCAAGACACGGGGGCCCCCCCTGCGTGCTGCAGCAGCAGCGGAGTTGCATGAGCGACCCCCTGCGCAGCGCCATAGAATGCCGTAGGCTACAGCAGCAGCAGCAGCAGCAGTAGCAGCAGCAGCAGCAGCAGCACCCGCAGCAACAGCAGCAGCAACAGCAGCAGCAACAGCAACAGCAGCAGCACTTGCTTCATACCGCTGCAATGCAGCAGCTGCCTTAGAGCAGCCACATTGCTGCTGCTGCTGCTGCTACTTTCGCTGCTGCTGGTGCTGCTACTCCTTTCTAGCCGCTGCTTAGCTCGTGCATTTTTGCAAATAGCTGCTGCTGCTGCTGCTGCTGCTGCTGCTGCTGCTGCAGCTGTGGAGTGCAGGCTGAGCGAGTGGGGGGAATGGTCATCCTGTGGGGGCCCCTGCGATATGGGGCTGCAGCAGCGGCAGCGCCATTTGCTGCAGCAGCCGCGGGGGGGGGCCCCCCCTTGTGGGCCCCTGTTGAGTTCGCGGGCTTGTACCCCGAATGCTGCTTGTCCCGGTGAGGGTTTAGGGTTTAGGGTTTAGGGTTTAGGGTTTAGGGTTTAGGGTTTAGGGTTTAGGTTTTAGGCGCGAGGACGAAGGGTTGGGGCGCTGCAACTGCTAGGTTTCTTTGTGCTGCTGCTGCTGGCGTAGTTGCTGCTATGCTCACTGCTGCTGCTGCTGCTGCTGCTGCTGCTGCTGCTGCTGCTGCTGCAGGTGGCAACATGTTCACAGAGTGGTCCTCCTGCAGCGCGAGCTGCGGGGGAGGCCACAGGCAGCGGCAGCGGCTGCTGGCTCAGCCGCAGCAGCAGCAGCAACAGTTGCTGCAGCAGCAGCTGCAGCCAATGCAACTGCAGCAGCTTCAGCTGCAGCAGCTCATGCTGCTGCAGCAGCAGCAGCAGCCGCAGCCGCAAATGCTGCAGCAGCTGGGGGGAGTCGGCGGTTTGTGGGGCCTGCAAGACACGCAGACGGAAACATGCAACGAAGAAACCTGCGAAGGTGAGCATGCAGTTAGGGTTTAGGGTTTAGGGTTTAGGGTCTAGGGTTTAGGGTTTGAGGCCCCGTTCATCAACTTGAAGCTCCAGACTGCGCCTTTGCGTTTGGGCGCTTCCCGTTTGCCCAGCAGCAGAGCTTAGACCTTAAAGCTTAGGGTCTAGGGTTTAGGGTTTAGGGTTTAGGGTTTAGGGTTTAGGGTTTAGGGTTTAGGGTTTAGGGTTTTAGGGTTTAGGGTTTAGGGTTTAGGGTTTAGGGTTTGTGCTTGGCAGCGACGGAGTGTACGTACACCCCGTGGGGCCCCTGGGGCCCCTGCAGGGGCCCCTGCGGCCTCAAAACCCGCGAGCGGCAGCGGCTGCTGCTGCAGCAGCCGAAGGGTTTGAAGTGTTTGCTGCCGCTGCTGGAAGTTGCTGCTTGTGGGGCCCCCGAGCCTTGCGGTCAGTCCCAAACCCTAAACCCTAAACCCTAAACCCTAAACCCTAAACCCTAAACCCTGGTCTGCGCGCTCAGCCCGCACAGCCACGAGCCAGATATTCGATCTGCTCCCGCTGCCCAAACCCTAAACCCTAAACCCTAAACCCTAAACCCTAAACCCTAGGGAAGGTGCAGTTCTCTCTGGTTTTCCTTCGGCCTGCTTCTGTTGCTTTGCCTCTTCCTTTTGCTGCTGCCTTCATGCATTTATTTATTTATTTATTTATTTATTTATTTATTTATTTATTTATTTATTTATTTATTTATTTATTTCATTTGTTTATTTATGCATTTGCTGCTCATTATTTATTTTATTTTTTTAATTTTCTGCTGCTGCTCGCAGAGTCGGAGTGCCAGCTCTCGGCCTGGTCCGCGTGGAGCAGCTGCGAGCCCTGCAGCAGCAGCAGCAGCAGCAGCAGCAGCAGCAGCAGCAGCAGCAGCAGCAAACAGATTCGCACTAGAGAAGTGCTGCTGCCGGGCTCTTCTTGCCCCCCACGTATAGAAATGAGGCCATGCAGCAGCAGCGAGGGGGGGCCTTGTCCTGCTGCAGCGGAGGCACAGAGTCTGTTGCTGCTGCTTCTGCTGCTGCTCCTGCTGCTGCTGCTTCTGCTGCTGCTGCTGCTTGAGCTTTGTTGCTGCTGTTTTTTATTGTTTTTGCTGCTGCTTCTCGGATTTAGCTGCTGCTGCTGCCCTCTACAGTCGGCTCCCTGCTGCACTGGGTGTCCCGTGTCCTTAATGAATTGCTGCTGCTGCTGCTGCTGCTGTAGTTGCTGCTGCCTGTCGTGCTCTTGCCGCTAACCAGTTCGCCTGCAGCAGCAGCAGCTGCTGCTGCTGCAGCATCACTTCGTTTGCCTGCAGCAGCAGGCGCACGGTGCTGCTTCTGCTGAAGCTGCAACTGCTGTCTACCGTGTGCGCCTTTGCTGCAGCATCAGCAGCAGCAGCAACAGCAGCAGCAGCAACAGCAGCAGCAGCAGATTGTCCTAAGGGGGACTGGGCTGAGTGGGGGCCCTGCAACGTTGGGTGCGTTCGTTACCGCCACCGGCTGCTGCCTTCAGAAGCAGCAGCAGCAGCAGCAGGAGCAGCAGCAGCAGCAGATGCCAACTGCGTCAGAGAAGTTGAAGTGGGCGTTTGCGGCCCGCCTTGCACAGGTGACTATCGAGGGTTTAGGGTTTAGGGTTTAGGGTTTAGGGTTTAGGGTTTACGGCTCTGCTCGTGTGTTGTCTTTCATCCCTGGCTTTAGGGTTTAGGGTTTACGGTTTAGGGCATAGGGCTAGGCGTTTAAGGCTCACGGTGTAGGGTTTAGGGATTAGGGTTTAGGGATTCGCCTTTGTGGTTTAGGGTTTAGGGTTTAGGGTTTAGGGTTTAGGGTTTAGGGTTTTGGGTGCTCCCGTGTCTACGCAGCGCACGTACCCGCGTCAGCAAGTTTGTTCGCAGTCGACCCCGCCGGCGCTGCCGCTGCAGCAGCAGCAGCAGCAGCCCGCAGCAGCAGCAGCAGCAGCAGCAGCAGCAGCAGCAGCAGGTTTGGGGCCTCTTTGCGCGGCAGCGAAGAAAAAGAAAAGGGAGGGTTTAGGGCGGCGCTGCTGCGGGGCATTTTGCTGGGGATGTTCGTCACTGCTGTGCTGCTGGTGCTGTTCGTTGTCTTCAAAAGAAAAGAGTCCGTTGCTGCTGCTGCTGCTGCTGCTGCTGCTGCTGCTGTGGCTGCTGCTGCTGCGGCTCCAGATGTTTTTGCTGCTGCGGGGCTGCTGCTGCTGCTGTTCAAGATGTTTTTGCTGTTGCGCGGCTGCAGAGCAAAAGGTTCTGCTGCTGCTGTGGCTGCAGCTGCTGCTGTCGCTGCTGCTCCTTCCCCCAATTGTGCTGCTGCTGCGGATACTGCTGCGCGAATATCCGCTGTAGTGACTGCTGCTGCTGCTGCTGCTGCTGCTGCTGCCTTTGCCTGTCCTGAAGCAGTGTGCGGCTGCTGCTGCACGCGGAAAATGGGGCGCAAGAGCTTAAGAGGCCCCAAGGTCTCTTACTATTACTCATTTCCTGCTGCTGCTGCTGCTGCTGCTGCTGCTGTTGCTGCTGCTGCTGCTGCTGCTGCAGGCTGCGCGCGCGCGCTGCGTTCTGCCGAGTGGACCAGTGGACCCCCTCTGGCACTGCAGCATTTGGGGAAGAGGGGAGGGACGGCGGCAGCAGCCGCAGCAGCAACAGCAACAGCAGCAGCAGCAGCAGCAGCCACGAATCTCTTAACAAAATGGATATGGAAGAAGATGAGCCTTTTTGGGACGGCGGCGACACCGACGAGGAGACCAAACAGCTAAACCCCCCGGCAGCAGCAGCAGCAGCAACAAACTAGCAGCAGCAGCAGCAGCAGCAGCAGATGCCTAGCAGCAGCAGCAAATGTCTAGGCGCAGCAAGAACACAAGATGCCTAGCTGCAATGGCAGCAGAAAGCCATGGCCTTCGAAAACTCCCCGTCTTTTCTGTTTTTATTAGTGTCAGCAGCACCAGCAGCAGCAGCTGTTGCTGCAGCAGCAGCAGCTGTTGCTGCAGCAGCAGCAGCTGTTGCTGCAGCAGCAGCCGCTGCAGCAGCTGTCAGAAAAGCTGCTGCAGCCTTATAGCTCTGTTTACAGATTGCGCAGCAGCAGCAGTGGCAGCAGACAGCTGCTTCTGCTGCCAGTGTCCCACCTGCTGTGTTAAGTGCTTCGCCTACCGCCCTTGTCAGCATCTGCTGCTGCTGCTGCTGCTGCTGCAGACGAGCAGCAGCAACTCCTGCTAGCCATCCTCCGCAGGTATTGGTTTTGGCAGCAGCAGCAGATGCCAGGCCCCTTCGATTGACGAGCAGCAGTAGCGCCTGCGGCTGCTGCTGCTGCTGCTGCTGCTGCCGATCCGGCTAATGCAGCCGCAGCCAGCAACAACGCAATGCTGCAGTAGCAGCAGCAGCAGCAGCAGCAGCCACTCTCGGTGCTGCAGCTGCAGCAACGCAACAGACGGCTGCAGCAGCAGCAAAGCTGCTCATTTTGATAAATGACCCTCGAGCCGTAATTGTAAAGAACATATTTCGAACTCAGTCAAGCGGCAGCAGTAGCTGCTGCTGTCGCAGCTGCTGCAGCTGCAGCTGCAGCAGCAACAGTAGCTGCTGCTGTCGCAGCTGCTGCAGCTGCAGCTGCAGCAGCAACTGCTACTGCAGCAGGAACAGCTGCCGCAGCAGCGGCATTTAATTCTATTCGGCTGCGTACCATGAAATCCGCCGCAGCCCTACTCACTGCTGCTAGTGTGGCTGCTGCTGCTGCTGCTGCTGCTGCTGCTGCTGTGGCTCTTGCTGCTAGAGTGCCACTTCTCTACGCAACAAAAAGCAGCTGCAGCAGCAGCAGCAGTTTCTGCAGGTGTAGGAGAGAGCAGCTGTTGCAGCAGCTGCTGCAGCAGTCGCAGCTTTTGCAGCTCCAGCAGCAAAAGCTTTGCCGGTTGCTTCCTCTAGCGCAGTAGCTGTATCAGGCGCTGCAGCAGCTGCTGCTGATGCTGCAGTTGCTGCTGCCGCGGATGCAGCAGCAGCAGCAGCAAAGGCCAAGGGCAGTCACAGGCCCGTAGGCTGTGCAGAAGCAAACAGCTAAATACGCAGCAGCAGCTGCTGCTGCAGGCAGCAGCACAGAGCGGCCGCTGCCACAGCAGCAGAAATCGGCGCTGCCGCTCTTGTTGCTGCTGCTGCTGCTGCTGCTGCTACTGCTGCTGCTGCTACTGCTGCTGCTCACGTGGCAGCAGCTTTTACTGAGCGCAGTGTCTCTTCAATCTCTTTTTCGCCAAAGTCGACCCGAAGCCGCAGCACCTGCAGCAGCAGCAGCAGCAGCAGCAGCAGCAGCACGACCATTAACATTGATCACGAGAAGCAAAATGCTGGCAGCAGCAGTGCAGCTCCTGGGCCTTCAGCGGAGCGGTAAAATCAGCAGCAGCAGCAGCTGCTGCAACACAAGAAGCAAATCAGCAGCCGCAGCAGCAGCTGACTGTTTTAATTTCCTCAAGAGTGAGTAGAGATTGTCCCCCCTCTATCTCTCCTGTGCACAGCAGCAGCAGCAGCAGCAGCAGCAGCAAAGGCGAATGCAGCAGCAGCAGCACGCAAGTCTGCTGTCAGGCAAGATGAGGCAGCCGTTGGAGCAGCAGCAGCAGCAACCAGCCTCACTGCGTAGCAGCAGCACCAGCGAGAACTGCGTCTAAAGCAGCAACGACAAAGCAGCAGCAACGGGCACAGCAGCAGCAGCAGCAGCAGCAGCAGCAGCAGCAGCGCACCCAGCAGCTCAGAGACTTCGTTAAGAGAGGGAAGGCTGAGAAGTTCTCCTATCTCAAATAGGCGGCAGAACTGCGGCGCAGCAAAGCAGCAGCAGCGGCAGTCATCTTCCCTTGCTGCTGCTGCTGCTGCGACAACAGCAGCAGCCCAGTACGGCAGCAGCAGACAACGCAGCAGGCTTTCAGACTGCACGGAGCAGCAGCAGCTGGTGGCGCAGCAACAAGGAGGAGCGCCCGCTGCTGCAATGAGCCGCAGCAGCAGCAGTAGCAGCAGCAGCAGCAGCAGCAGCAGCAACAGCAGCAGGAGCTCACCTTGGACCTCACTGGCTCCGGGTAGTTAATCTCTACGCCATCAAGGGTCTCTTCTTCGTCTTCAAAGTCGTCGAAGAAGGAGCACCTACTGGCAGCAGCAGCAGCAGCAGCAGCTTCCTGCTGCTGCAGCCTGCTGCTGCTGCTGCCAGCAGCAGGACTCAAACTCAGCCGCTGCACCACCAAGCAAAGATTGCGGGTTTCTTGGTTGGCCAAAATGCCCCCCGACGCGCTGTAGGTCTTCTCCAGCAGCCCGGATTCCAGATTCTTCACCACCTGCAGCAGCAGCAGCAGCAGCAGCAGCAGCAGCAGCAGCAGCTGGAGTAGCTGGGGTGCTGCAAAGCCAAGTAGCCTACGAGCAGCTGCTGCAGGGCCAGTGACAACCCCTGCAGCTGCGCCCGCCACTGAAGCAGCGCCGCCGCCACCAGCAGCAACAACGGCTACAGCTACAGCAGCAGCAGCAGCAGCAGCAGCAGCAGCAGCAGCAGCAGGCTGACGAGGTCTAGCAGCAAGTCACACAGCGTGGCCTGTCCCTTGAGGTCAAACCAGCGGCTGAAATGCGCAGCTAAAAGGCCAAACAGCCGCTGCAGCTTCAGCCGCCACGCGCACCCTAACAAGGACCCTTCTTCCTGCAGCAGCAGCAGCAGCAGCAGCAGCAGCAGCAGCAGCAAAGGCAAAATGTGCGTGGAGAAGGCGGGAGAGGACAGCAGCACCGGTGGCAACGACGCACGGAAGAAATAGGGAACGCTCCAGCAGGAACACCGCAGCAGCAGCAGCAGCAGCAAAAGCAGCGAGAACAGTAGCAGCAGCAGCAACCAGAACAGCGAGAGCGCCAACTGCAGCAGCAGCAACTGCAGCAGCAGCAGCAGCAGCTCACCATCAGTGCTGCGTCTCTGTCGAAGTCGCATTTCTTCAGCAGCTCAAAGCAGTGCTGCCAATACACCTGGAAGAAGCGGAGGGTCAAGGAGCAGCAGCGGTGGTGCAGCTGCTGCAGCGCCTCTGCTGCTCCGTCTAGCTCCTGCAGCAGCAGCAGCAGCAGCAGCAGCAGCAGCAGCAGCAGCAGCAGTGAAGCTAGATGCTGGCTACAGCTGCGGCGCCCGACAAACGACCGCAGCACGGGACGGCAGCAGCCAGAGCAAAAGTGCTTCCTCAAAAACAGCAACAGCAGCAGCAGCAGCAGCAGCACGGCAGCAGCGGCAGCAGCAGCAGCACGGCAGCAGCAGCAGCAGCAGCGAGGCGCTCTGAGGTCTTGGCACCTGAAGCGTGTAGTGCATGATGAGGAGAGGCGATTTGCCTTCTCCCTCTCCTTCAGTTGCTGCTGCTGCTGCTGGGTCCTGCTGCTGCTGCTGCTGCTGCTGCTGGTGCTGCTGCAACATTGCATTCTTTGTAGCTGCCTTGAAGTGCGCCAGCGAAGACAAACAAAGCTGCACATTGTTGACAGCCACGGGCCAGCAATGGCGAGCTCCTGAAGCAGCAGCAGCAGCAGCAGCAGCAGCAGCAGCAGCGGCAGCAGCAGTAGCGGCAGCAGCAGCAGCAGCAGCATTGGGGAGGATCGACCCTTGGGCCCGCGCTGCAGCAGGGCTGCTGATGCAATAACAAAGCTAGAAACGGCCAAATCGGCAACAGCAGCAGCTGCAGCAGCTGCTGCAGCAGCAACACTAAAGCAGCAGCAGCAGCATACGGCAACAGGCGCAGCAGGAGCAAGCCTCCTGAAGTGCAGCAGCAGCAGCAGCAGCAGAAGGACCAGCAGCAGCACTGGCATCAGCAGCAACATTTAAAGCAACAGAAGCACTTTCGCCAGCACAAGGAGCAGCAGCAGCAGCGCAGGCAACAGCAACACTAGTACCAACATAATCAGGAGCAGCAGCAGCAGCAGCAGCAGCAGCAGCAGCAGACTGACTGAGCTTCTGCGGCAGCGGCTTTCCTTCGGCTTTGGCCTCCAGGGCCTTGACTATAGAGTAGCTGCTGAGTCTGTGTTCGTCCTTGCAATAAAAAATAAATAAATAAATAAATAAATAAATAAATAAATAAATAAATAATGAATAAATGAATAAATAAATAAACAAAATATAGAGTAGATGTCAATGTAGATATAGAGATATATGCATATATATATACTTGTACACAAATGAACAAATACAAATCTATACATACATCTGCAGCAGCAGCAGCAGCAGCAGCAGCAGCAGCAGCAAACCTGGACAAAGAACACGTAGGGCCCCTTGCTGCTCTCCAGGCACTGCCGCAGCGCTGCCAGCACTTCGCAGCGCAGCGCAGCAGCAACATGATTCACCAGCGCGCACAGCGCCAGGCTGTCGCCAGACCTGCAGCAGCAGCAGCAGCAGCAGCAGCAGCAGCAGCAGTGGCAGTGGCGGCAGCAGCAAAAGGAGAAATTGGGGGAGTCGCAGGCGCGCTGACAAATACAGTTTTGCCTGGTAGCTCGGGCCTCTGGCTGCGGCTGAGACTCCAGCAGCAACAGCAGCAGCAGCAACAGCAGCAGCAACAGCTGCAGCAGCAGCAGCAGCAGCAGCGGCAGCAGCAGCAAGGTACCTGAGGGCCCTCGAGACGGAAGCCTGCAGCACGAAGAAGAGATCTTCCATCATTGTGCTGTAAAGACACTCCCCACTTGCTGCAGCTTCTTCTTCTGCTTTCTTAAGTGCTGCAATTCGCTGCTGCTCTTCTGCTGCTGCTTCTGCGGGGCCCCCAGGGCTCTCCGGGGGGCGCCGCGCTGCTGCTGCTGCTGCTTCTGCTGCTGCTGCTGCAGCAAACGGCAGCTCGTCCTGAACCTCCAGCGCCTCTCGCACGGCCCTAACGAACCCACGCGCAGAAACAGCAGCACCACTTGCTGCAGACACAGAGCCAGCAGCAGCAGCACCAGCAGCAGCAGCAGCAGCAGCAGCAGCAGGTGGCTCACCAGAGCATCAGCGCGTGCTCCAGTGCAATATACTCCGCCACCAGCTCCTCCCGCCTCTGTATCAGGGCCGGATGCTCCATCTGACGGACCTGCAGCAGCAGCAGCAGCAGCAACAGCAGCAGCAGCAGCAACAGCAGCAGCAGCAGCAACAGCAGCAGCAGCAGCAACAGCAGCAGCAGCAGAAATCCGTACGCCTACATATCCAGCCTAAAACTCCAAACCCTAAACCCGAAACCCTAAACAGAAGTAGCTGTCTGGAGCCACATTGTGCATTTGTATCTTTTTACGAATGTCTGTGCTGCTGCTGCTGCTGCTGCTGCTGCTGCACCTCTGCTGCTCATGATGCTGCTGTTGCTGACCTGCTGCTGAGTCAGCATTTGGGCGACAGCGTTACTCTCCCCACGCGCGCGGCTGCTGCTGCTATTGCTGCTGCTGTTGCCGTTGCTGCTGCTGCTGTTGCTGCTGCTGCTGCTGCTGTTGCTGCTGCTGCTGCTGCTGCTATTGCTGTCGCCTGCTGCGTCGGAAGCAACAGCAGCAGCACTTCCGAGGGCAGCTCTAAACTGCTGCAGCAGCGCAGCGTGTGCTTTGCTGCAGCAGCGGCTCAGCAGCACGCACTCTTCAAGCCGGGATTCAACCTTTCTGCAGCAATTAGTGGCCGCAGCAGCAGCAGCAGCAGCAGCAGAAGCAATGGAGTGAACCTGCTGCTGCTGCTGCTGCTATTGCTGTCGCCTGCTGCGTCGGAAGCAACAGCAGCAGCACTTCCGAGGGCAGCTCTAAACTGCTGCAGCAGCGCAGCGTGTGCTTTGCTGCAGCAGCGGCTCAGCAGCACGCACTCTTCAAGCCGGGATTCAACCTTTCTGCAGCAATTAGTGGCCGCAGCAGCAGCAGCAGCAGCAGCAGAAGCAATGGAGTGAAGATGCGCAGCAGCAAAGGCCATATGAATGATGAAAAAGAGCAAAATGCAAGTAAACTCAGAAGCAGCAGCAGCAGTGATGCAGGAGAAGCCTGTGTTGCTGCAGCAGGTAAGCAGCTTCCAGGAGCAGCAGCAGCAGCAGCAGCAACAGGAACAGCAGCAGCTGCTGCTGGGCATCTCACCTAAGAGTTTCAGGATCTCTCCCTCCTCCCTCCTTGGTAAATGTGAAGTAGTCCTGCCTGCAGCAGCAGCAGCAGCAGCAGCCGCAGCAGCAGCGGCAGCAGCAGACACAGCAGCAGTGGCGCGCGCAGCAGCTGTTGCTGCTGGGCGTTTGACTCGAGGGTGTAGCAGCAGCGTGAGCAACAGAGACGCAGCAGCAAAAACAACAAAGCAGAAGGAGCAGCAAGGCCAAAGCAGCAGCAGCAGCAGCAGCAGCAGCAGCAGCAAAACCACCGCAGCAGCAGCAGCAGCTTACTTGGAGTCCAAAAAGTGATTTAAAACCCTAACGCCTTCCACGTCAAGCTCCTGTGATATTGCTGCAATGAAGTAAGCTGCTGCTGCTGCTGCTGCAGGGGCCCCCGCAGAAGCAGCAGCGGCAGCATCTGCTGCAGCAGCAGCAGCAGCGCCCTCCCCATCCATTTCTTCGGGGAACTGCGTTGCCATCGCCAGTACCGCAGAGCGCAGCACCTACAGCAGCAGCAGCAGCAGCAGCAGCAGCAGCAGAAGCCCGTCAACTGCAGCAGCAACGGCAGATGCAACCAGCCAACTGCAGCAGCTGCAGCAGCAGCAGCAGCAAAAGCCATACCTGCTGCACTGAAGCTACCTTTGACACATTCTTGTAAAGCTGGTGCAGCACCGCCGCATGCAGCTTCCCACTCCCTCCCTGCTGCGGCTGCAGCAGCACCCTGTAGCAGCAGCAGCAGCAGCAGCAGCAGCAGCAGCAGCGCACTTGGGTGGTTCAGGCTTCTCAGGGGCCCCCGAATACAATCAAAATGCCATTAATGGGCCTCTTGAGGACATGAGGGCCCTCAAAGGTTTTGGGCAGCCCTTGCTTCTGTTGCTGCAGCTGCTGCTGCTATTGCTGCTGCTGCTGCTGCTGCTTTTGCTGCTGCTGCTGCTGCCGTCGCATTTTGCTAGTTGCATCTACTGCTGCTGCTGCAGCAGGGTTTGGGGACTCCCTAAAGCTCTAGGGCCCCCCCAAGGGCTTAGGGGGCCCCCAAGGGTTTGGGGGCCCCCCCAAGGGTTTAGGGGGCCCCCCAGGGTTTGGGGGCCCCCCAAGGGTTTAGGGGGCCCCCTGAGGGTTTAGGGGCCCCTAGGGTTTGGGGGCCCCCTGAGGGTTTGGGGGCCCCCGGGGCCCCCCACCGCCCGCGACTTTGGCGAAAACGAACAAATGAATAAATAAACAAACAAACAAACAATAAATAAATATATTATTTGTTTATTTATGTTTATTTATTTATTTATTTATTTATTTATTTATTTATTTATTTATTTATTTATTTATTTATTTATTTATTTGACCTGAAGTGAGCAGCAGAGGTGTCTGCGAGGGCGTCAGTCACGAGGCGGCAAAGGCGCGAAACTGCTGCTGCTGCTTTGCGCAGCAAAAAGTAGCAGCGCAGCAGCAGACGCAGCTCTTGCGTCCACTGCTGCTGCTGCTGCTGCTGCTGCTGCTGCTGCTGCTGCTGCTCCTGCGAGTCCGGCTGCTGCGGGCTCTCCCCCGCGCTGACGTCAGTGTCCAGCCGGTGCATCTGCTGCTGCTGCTGCTGCTGCTGCTGCTGCAGCGCGGTGGTTACGAGGTTTTTAGCCACGGCACTGAGGCGCTTGTTGAGCTGCTGCAGCAGCAGCTGCTGCTGCTGCTGCAGCCGCTGCAGCACAGCGGCCTCCGCCCCGCAAATGCCCCCACCTGCTGCCTTTGCCGCTTGCTGCTGCTGCTGCTGCTGCTGCTGCTGGTAGCGCTGGTCTATTCGCTCAAACTCATCTCGGGTGTACAGACAGCTGCTGATGCATGTAGCAGCCAGCAGCAGGTCGCCTTCTTCAAGCGCAGCATCAGCCCTTGCTGCAGCAGCAGCAGCAGCAGCAGCAGACGAAGCAGCAGCAACAGCAGCAAAAGCAGTAGAAACGCGTTATAGGGAAGCAGCAAGTCCACGAGACACGCAGGCAGCAGCAAGCGCAGAGGCAGCAGCAGCAGTAAAGACAGCAGCAGCAGCAAAGGCAGCAGCAGCAGCAAAGGCAGCAGCAGCACGTTGCGCACTTTGTTGCGTGTGAATGGCGTTTATGTGCTTCGCTATGTCTGCTGCTTGCTGCAGCAGCTGCTGCTGCTGCTGCAGCTGCTGAATAGGCCGGCTGATGGCTCCTGCTGTCTCTGCTGCTGCCCGCAGTTGCTGCTCCACTGCAGCCACAGTGCCTTCGGCTTGCTGCTGCAGCTGCTGCAGGTCCGGCAGCAGCTGCTGCTTTATGTGCTGCTGCTGCTGCCGCCGTTTGCTGCTCAGCAGCAGTTGCTGCAGCAACTCGTCGCATAGCAGAATGTGCTGCTGCAGCTGCTGCTCGTCATCAAGCAGAAACGCTACAACGGGGTCTGCTGCAGCTGCTGTTTCCGCTGCAGCTGCAGTTGCTGCTGCTGCCTCTGCTGCTGTCGCTGCTGCTGTGCTGCTGCTGCTGCAGCTCGAGACAGCGGGGCCTAAGGTTGCTGCGGCTTCAGCCATTTCTTCGCCACCCGCAGCTGCAGCAGCAATGGCTGCTGCTGCTCTTGCTGCTGTTGATGGCGCTACTTCAGCTGTTGCTGCTGCTGCGGCTGGCATTCTACTGCAGTTCGTCTGCTGCAGTCGGCTGCAGCAGCCGCATGCAGACTCACAGCAGCAGCAGCTCAGCAGCAACTGCTGCTGCTGCTGCTGTTAATCCGTAGCTGTTTGTTGAGAGCAAAAAGCGCCAATTCACTCATAAATCACTAGCAGCAGCTCCGTGTGTAACGTGTCTGCTGCTGCTGCTGCTGCTGCTGCTGCAGCCAGGGGGCCCCTCAGGGTACAGAGCAGCCCGCAGGGGGGCCCCCCCACGGCTTCCACACTGCAGCAGCAACAGCAGCAGCAGCAAATAAATTTCCGGTTTTTTTGGCAATTGATTTTTGTTTATTTGCAGAGAAGCCACTGGGCTCCCTGGACAGAGGACGCCAGACGCAGCAGCAACAGCAGCAGCAGCAGCAGCAGAAGGCTGCTGCAGCTCACCTTGCAGCGTTTCCCGCCGGAAGAGAAAAGCAGCAAAGCAGCAGCAGCAGCAGCAGCAGCAGCAGACAGGTGGAGTTGCTGCTTCTCTCTAGCAGCGCTTGCAGCTTAAGAGTTTATTCCAGTTTATTTGCTGATTTGTATTTATATAAAGAAGACCAGGAACACTACTGGCTATAATTGCAAGGCAAAAAGGAAACAGAACTCTTTTATTGAACTGAGCTGCTGCTCCTGCTGCTGCTGCTGCTGCTGCTGCTGCTGCTGCTGCTGCTGCTGCTGCTGGGCTCGGAAATGGCCGGCTTGTCGCGAGGGTCCGTCGCCGCGCTCTGCGCTGCCAGCGCAGCAGCGGGAGCAGCAGCAGCTGCTGCAGTGCTGCTGCTGTGCCGCTGCCAGCAACAGCAGCAACAGCAGCAGCAGCGGCAGCAACAGCAGCAGCAGCAGCAGCAGCAGCAAGACATATCTGAGAGCTGCCCAGGCCCTGAGAGCCAAATGGCTGGCCTGGCAGCTGGCTGCGAAGGGTGCCCGGGGCGCAGCCTGTGTCTAGCAGCAAAGGGGGGAGCAGCAGCAGCAGCAGCAGCTTCTGCTGCAGCAGAGCCGGAAGCAGCAGCAGCAGCAGATGCCGCGAAGCAGCAGCAGCAGCAGCAGCAGCAGCCAAAGAGTCCTGAAGTCGCCCAGAAGCTGAAAAACGTAAAAAAGAAAATCATCATCCTCTCGGGGAAAGGAGGCGTCGGCAAGTCCACAGTGGCTTCACAGCTAGGTAGGGTTTAGGGTTTAGGGTTTAGGGTTTAGGGTTTGGGGTTTAGGGTTTAGGGTTGGGGGTTTAGGGTTTGGGGTTCAAGGTTTTGGGTGTTGGGTTTGGGTTCAGGATTTTGGGTTGAGGGTTTGGGGTTTTGGGCTTACGGTGGTTTAGGGTTCAGGGCTTGGCTTTAGGGTTTAGGGTTTAGGGTTTAGGGTCTGGGATTGGCGGCCTAGGGTTTAGGGTTTAGGGTTTCGTGTGTCACGGCTTGGTGACGAGGCCATACAACGGCGGAGCATTCACGCCCCTTCAAAGCTAGCTAGCTAGCCAGCTAGCTAGCTAGTTATCCAGCCAGTTAGCTGGCTAGCTAGCTAGCAAGCTAGCTAGCTAGCTAGCTAGCTGGATGTGCAGCTAGCCATTTACCTACACACCGCTGGCCGCTGCATTTGGCTGCCTCTCTGTCCGCCTTCCCACAGATCAAGCTAGCTAGCCAGATAGTGAGGCAGCTAGCCAGCTGCGCAGATGGCTAGCTAGCTAGCTAGCTAGCTAGCTAGCTAGCCAGCTGCTGCTGCTGCTGCTTCTGTGTCTGCAGCCGAAAGGTGAAGCTGCCAGTGCTGGGAGTGGTCGAGAATATGGCGGAGTCCCTTTTTGCCGAAGGGCCCCACAAGGGGGGCGCGCAGGTACCAGTGGCTAGCTAGCCATAGCTAGCTAGCTAGATGTGGCTAGCTAGCCACCTCCAGCTAGCTAGCCACAGCTGTCCAGCTAGCCATAGTTAGCTAGCTATGGCCGTAGCTAGGTAGCTGCGGCCACAGCTAGCCAGAAAGTTACAGCTAGCTGGCTGGCCACAGTCAGGTAGCTACGGCCTCAGCTAGCTAGCTAGCCACACAGCTAGCTAGCTGCGGCGGCAGCTAGGTACCTAGCTGCAGGGTCGTTCGATGTAGGCGTCGATCGATCAATCGGTATCGATCGAATCATGTCGATCCCGACACGCCGGTCGATCGATTCGTCGATCGATCGAACCGGCGATCGACCGATCTGTATGGCGATCCATCCTGGCTGGCCACAGTCAGGTAGCTACGGCCTCAGCTAGCTAGCTAGCCACACAGCTAGCTAGCTGCGGCGGCAGCTAGGTACCTAGCTGCAGCCAGCAAGCTACATCCGCAGCTAGCTAGTTAGCCATAGCTAGCTTAGTACAGCTAGGGCTGTGCGGCCAGCTAGCTAAGCAGCTAGCTAGCTTGGCCGCTAGCTGGCTAGACATACCGCTAGGTAGACAACTAGCTGCCTAACAAACTGGCTAGCTGGCTAGCTAGCCATATAGCTAGCCAGC